CTTGTTTTATCGGTTTTAAGCTTAAATTGGTCTTTCAAATTATGGTTTGTTGACACTTCGGTATTCTGTTGATATTTTTCTCTCTGAAAAGACATTTCTTGTAAATTAATTAAAAAATTTACAAAATTATTGTCATTCACTGTACAATTGTAGTTGACTAAATTGAACAAATCCATTAACATTATCGACCTTGAGGAGGCATCCAATAATCGAGACAGAGAGACACTGTGGAAGTTAATGAGACATAGCGGCATGTCATAAATATACATTACTTTCACCTGAAGTATTTTATTCGTGACCAAATAATGGCTTGTAAGTATTGTTAACATGGGACATCACAGAACGGTGCAAAGGTCAGATCGGAATAAGGAAGGGATATAAGTTATTGACTGAATGATGAAAAAGATAGCCAATCGAAAGAGTAATGGATTTAGTGACCTCCCGTGAAACAATTAGGCCTTGGATGTCCGTGGGTTGGGGCTTTGACTTAAAACAGATACGTACAAATGCAATAAATAAAAACAACGGGTTTGGAAGAAACAGCTGCAAATAGAGGAGTGAATTCATGGAACGAGAACAATATCAAGCAAAGCACTGAAGAAATAGAAGAAGAAAAAAAAGTATATTTGCTTGACGTATACTTGAAGTATAGAGGGTAGAATTGATGGGACGAATCCAGATATCGTAGTAAGGATATACAAAAAAAAAACAAGACAGCCTTCATTTCACTCATTATCGGTTGTTAGGTCACGGTAAATATTCAGAATTATGAAAATAGTAATATTGAATAGCAAAGTGAAATCAGTACTTTTCTATGGTTCAGAGACATGGCGAGCGACAACAAAAACAGAACGACCAAGCTCTGTATCGACAAGTGTGTTCATAATATTCAAATCATCGATATTTAGCAGACGTTAGAATAAAAATTGTTGAAAATAAAAATTGATCACGCTTGCCTCAACGGGATCCATAAGCGACTCCGCTGTGATGGGCGTTTTATACAATATACCAGTGTGCTTGGCGTTTGACATATACTTAAGTACGTGTACAATGTACTTGTTAAGTAATCTAGGGCATACCTTTAAATGGAACATTATGGGATAATCAATTACATTTTTGGTCCTTTACAAAGAAATGAAACAATTGTATTACTATAACAAAAGACGATTGCTTTGTCGGTCCTTCTATAAATAAAGCACAAATAACATTAGCCGTATATAGTAATGGGCCAAAAGTCGATACAATCTGTGCATTTCCCATACCGATAGTACTGCGTTGGTTCGGATCAAAAAAGTAAACCGCAAAATTTTAATAACTCTGTCTATTTGTCTAATAGAGAGAGTCTAAATCTAACGGCGAACTAAACCCTACCCTAACCTCTTTGTCAGCTTTATCACGCTTACTCTTTAGTTACCGTACCAATAGTTAATGATAGGGTAAGATGACAAATATGACACACGAGTCGCAGACGTACTTACAATTAAAGAATGCTTAAATACACGAGGTCACACCCTTAAAATATATAAAGAGTATTCGAGGTTAAATATTCGAAAATATTCGTTCATACAAAGAACTGTTGGCATGTGCAACAACCTCCCGCCAAAGGTAGTGAACGCAAACATTCAGCTATGAACTATGCAACTACAACTTCAAACCATGCATCTTTAAAGTACGAGCTGACTGTCAAAGGATTGTATATGCTGTACCAATTGTATGTATTTTGTTTAATAAATCTGTGTATCTGTGTATGTCGCTGTCTCTCTATTTTTTGGTTTATAAAAACCTGTCTGGAGGTCTTTGTACGTGAGAAGGGCACCAGGAATTTGAGATGGTGCCGTCTCGGCAGATGGAATCAGGTATGTAGTTGACACTTCCACTAGGCCATGTACGATACGGCACATCATCACTACCTTAGCCTGGGCACGTCTTTCCTGTAGGGTGGGCCAGTTTAGTTGGGATATCATGTATGAGGCGCTGCTGGTGGTATGGTAGTCGCCAAAGATGAATCTGGCTGAGCGCCTCTGCACCATTTACAGCTTCTTGATCTTATCGGCTGTATGAGGGTCCCATTGCCCATACTGTGCTGGCAAACATAATGGTGGGTCTCACTATTTGATATACATGCTTTACGTACTAAATTTGAAAATGACCGATTATGTATACTATTTTCTTATTGCACCAAATCAATTAATTGTTATTATAAAGACTACTATAAGAGATGTTTATTTTAGTTCGAGATTTTAAATAAATGTCGAAAAATTGTCAATCTGCAACATCTCCAATCTCAGTCTCAAAAACGGCCAAATTAATATTTTGTTTTGCTTTAAGTTAGCTTATTAAAACGGATTATTTTGTGCAAAGACTGATGATTTTTCTCGAAATAACACATACCTGGCGAGGGACGGGGTACCAGTAGTTGATCTGACGCTGGATGCACAGTGGGAACAGAACCATATGCTTCTCCTCAAATCGATCACAGAATCTCCTTTCCCAGTACAGGTCATCCCGTGGCAGCTCCTTGGTCAGTTCCACGGACAACGCTAGTCCATAATTGAACAACATCATGGCCTTTGACCGCTCCGCGAAATTAGCTTTGTCCCTCTTCCGAGATCCGGATGGCTTCCATAAGCATCTCCTTTTGACTTGACACGGGACAGTTCCGCAGTGACGGCAGAGGGAAGAACCTATACAAACAGACGTGTTTGTTACAACAGAGGAAAGTCGTGTACATGTACATATTCAAGCTACGAAAAAACAGATATTTGAAAGTCAATGTCGACCATTTGTCTATAAACTCTATTATATCTTAAATGGAGTATAATCTGAATATTGAAGCAAATGTGCCTGCGTTCAGAATAAACTAAGTTAACTAAGTACATTTGTATATGTTGCATTGAATGTATAGCCCGAAAAATGGAAGATGATGGCAACCTATAATGAAGTATTTGACTTTAAATGGTTGTATCGACTATAAATCTGGTGTTAAACGGCAATAACCTGCTTTTGTATCTAAAAGATATATATTATTTACGAGTAAAAAAAATGGAAATAGAAATGATGAGCAACAACACCACTGAATCTGGTACACTATGTACAAAACAAACTGTACCGGATTCAGTGGTGTTGTTACTCATCATTTCTATTTGCATTTGCTCTGCTTTCCCTGATGACCACTGTTGAATACCATTAAGGTACATGTATATATATCCACCCCAGGATCCCTATCGCCACTATGGAACTGACTTCGTTGCAGTGACGTTGGGTCTCAACCCCCCAGTTGAGTAAAACAGTGTCCAAACTTACCACGTAAGTCCCCGATATACAGCAGGACCTTACTGCATGGCACTCACCATTACCACGTATATCAAGAAATGAAGAATAACCTGATTCATTGTGGCAATCCAAGACTTAATCAGAGAAATAAATAGTAGGGGGAGAGACTGATCCTCTCCGCAAGTATGGTTTCGCAACTAGTATGTGACGTTACAGAAAGCTTCATAAATTTACATCATGACGTCATACAATATGTGTTTGTCACAAGGTCAAAAGTCACTGAGGGCGGTGGGTATATACTTTCATTTGATGATTTGACTATAATGTTTCCTACGCAAACCGTTGCTACAAATGAGGGTTTATCAAACAGCTCCGAAATTTAAACAATAAATAACCTACATTTAGTTTGTCCTCTTTTACCTTGTTACTTCCGTATAATCTGTCTATACCGGCCGCTGTCTTATCCGAACATTGTATAGCGGATTTGACCTTTAGTATTGGTTTTCCTCTGGTGAATTCTAGCACTCCACTCCTATCTGATCCGGACGCTGTTTACTCTGGAAACTGGCGTCGTTTAACCGTTCTTGCTAAATAAATCCTTATTACATTATTAATATACATAGTATGCATCCCGGTGTTTCCATTTTTTACTTGGCTTTCCTTACAAAAGTATTTTTTCTGAAGGTAAAATACGCGATCTTTTGATTTTAATGGTTTATAATCTAGTTTATGAGGCTCATGTTGATCATTCCTTTTTTCCGCACGAAAGCGTACATGGGAGTCACACAAAAGAATGCAAAATATAATAAAACATCTAAAAAGCAACGTCATATATGATTAAAACGACGTCATTTTACGTTACACAAGGTTGGCGACCAACATCGCGCGTAACGTCGTATAGATGCACGTACCTAAATATGTCCCCTGTTGGTGCAGAGTGATAAAACAAAAATATTTTATTATTTCGGAAAAGCGCCTCATATCATTTTGATGTTGACATTCATAGAAAAAGTGATATGCATTAAAACATGGATTTCTACAACTGTAATTACCCCGGAACCACTCTTAAACAGGGGGGGGGGGGGGGGGGGGCTGGTATTTCGTCCACATTCAAAATGCCCTTTTCTCAGGTTGATAACTAGCTGAATCACGAATAACTATGCAAGAATTTTAAGAATACCTGACTGGACTAAAAAAGTTAGCAAAAATTGTCAACGGCTTTATCATTCAGTTTTGATCAAATGGTATTATACACAAAACATGTGAATTGTCGTTTCCTGTATGTATTTTCTTGCCGGTCGTAAACGATTTCAGGTATATTTACTTTCAATTTTGCATACATATTTTACATAATGTTCACATTGATATTTTTTTAACACTATAACCATTTAACATACATTTTAATATATGTGAATTTAAACATATTTTAGAAGGAGAAAAACCGGGAAAATATAGATAACTGCATGATATCCAATTTAAAAGAGGTATTTTTGTTTATCTTGGAAAAAGCAAAGTTGCTACAATTTCATCCCCTAAAGAGAGCGAACTCTAAAAAGTGATGAATAAAACAAGTCTGGTTAGTTTAGGTATCCTGGTTTTTTACTTAAAATAAAAGTCTCAGCACAGATTTTGGTCTCTCTGATATATTCCGGATTATTGTTGCGATCCGACTCAAATGTTATACAAGTCGCATCTTGATCACCCGGAAGCTTTAGAAAATTAAAAAATTGCAATGGCTACCACATGGCCAGAGGTTCAGCTGGCAGCCTCTGAAAATCGTCGAGAACTCACTCTTCACGGACAGGAAATCAGTCGCAGGATCCAGGATGGTGGTATTGATGAAGATCTTTTCAAATTATCTTTGTTAAATTTTCTAAAAATCTCAAAAACATGCCTTTCAGACGTTGGAAGTGGTGTCGGCCTCCTGACCAATCTCACAGATTTGGTATTGCACAACAACAGCCTAACATCTGTACCAAATGAAATTACGAACCTGACATTGCTTAAACTTCTGGATGTTTCAAACAATCAGATCACTTCTTTTCCAGGTGATATTTCTCCCCTTACAAATTTGCAAACATTGAATGTATCAATGAATAAGTTATCCGAGTTTCCAGCTGTTGGAGCTCTAGGGGCTTTACACATATTCAATATCTCACACAACCAGCTAGAGGAACTGCCAGAAGGAATTTTCTCTTCAAGTCTTGTACACTTGAGCAAGATTGTAGGAAACGACAACGGCATCACTGAATTGTCTGCAGATATAGTTGATTTGCCCCATTTGAATACACTAGATTTGTCAGACAACAAGTTACTAGAGGTCCCGTCAGAAATGAGTGAATGTGCAAAACTCAAAGAACTTAATTTGAAAGGAAATAAATTTAAAGATAGGAGATTTGGAAAAATGGTTGATCAGTGTGGGACCAAATCTGTCTTAGATTACCTAGCAACACAGTTAAAGAAAGAACAGGAACAAGCTGGAAAGAAGGGGAAAGGAAAGAAAAAGAAAGGTGGGAAAAAGGAACAGACAGAGGTCCAGGACATCATAAAAAACATGATAAACATTCTACATTTTGCCGAAGCAGCCGAGGCAGGATGTACAGTGCAGTTGAAACCAGCAGTTATGTCAGTTAGGCAATACATTGTTTGCTGTATTGTCCGAGAGCTTGATTTCCAGCAGTCGGTGAACATGTTCAAAAACTTCATAACTTTACAGGTAATGACAATTTTTTGTACACATGAATATATGGCGAAACTGGACTTGGTCGATCTTCGGCGACCAGGTAGCTTGATTGGTTAGAGCCTCTGTCTAGATTTCGGAGTTTGAACCTTGGGCTGGTTGTTGTATTTCTCTTTTTCCTGTTATATATATAAAGAAAATGTCAATAAGCTAAGAGGAACAGAGGGTTGTGCGACATGAATGCTTTCAATTTCATCTTCAGATATTATTTAAAACATAGGTAATATTTTATATGCAAAATGTGGTTACAGACTTTAACTTTGTTACCTATAGGGAGATATATGCATGTGTATGGGCTTACTAAAAAAAGAAATTTGGGGGCCACCAGGCCCTTCTGAATGGTCAGGGAGAGCTGATTATGAATTGATGAACATGATATTCTTCCTGCGGTATAGCTACATGTATGCTTCCCTGGGAAAAAAATGAAATCTAGAAGCTCTATCGCAGATTCTGATCAGTTCCAGTGTATTGTTTAGCTACTAGTATTACAAGTTGACAGTTTTTAAAGCCATTTGATTCAATTTTTCATTCACTGGCACCATTTATAGAAAAAAAATTGAATTGCCGAAATCGCTGCTTATATCTTGAATTTCTAAACATCAGACATATAAAGGCAAACAAAAACTGGGGCCCAGCAGGCCACAAATTTAAGGGTAAAAGATCAGTCAGTGTCAAAGTCTAAACCTAGTTACAGATGTTTGTTTCATTAGTGTAATTTCACGTTTGATTTTTTTAACTCCTTTTTTATATTCTGGCTAGATTAAAAATAATTCAAATTTAGTAACTAATAATTATGCTTTTAATTATATCCATAATGGACAACTACCATAATTTGTAAGGGTGTGTATTAAAGATTTGGGAAAAAAATCATTTGGAATATCACTGAATTTTCTCAGCTTTTTGAATAAGGCCGAGTGTGAATGGCCTGTTAAGTTTATTAGATGAACAGCAAGGCGTTTTTTTTTAGAACAAACATTATAACTGGATGTTTACCATGTTTCAGTTAAAAATATTAACTCAAACATGCATGTACATTTTTGGCATAATCTTCAATGTTTCCAGACGAAACTTCATGATGGAGTATGTCAGAAGAGGCAGGCTGCAACCATTGCTACACATGACCTGAAGAGTGTCAAACAACCCCTGACCTATGATGCCATGTTCCCACCTAATTTGAAGGTAAACAAATTGATGTACTGTAGTATTACAGGAAACTACCAGATGACCTCCCTTCCCAAGCTGCAACCACACAATTAACCAGGGGGACACAGTGGCCGAGTGGTTAAGGTGTCTGACTATCTTACGATCACTAACCCTCCACCACTGGGTCGCAAGTTTGAGGCCTTCGTGGGTCAGTTGCAAGGTACTGGCTGCAGGTCAGTGGTTTTTAGCTCACCTGTCCGAAGGACAAGTGAGCTTATGCCGTATTGCAGCGTCCTGGGTCAACTCTTCCCTTTAAAAGCCTTTATCTCCTGAACGACTGATTGGATTTGAACTAAATTTGATATGAAGCGTCCTTGGGACCAGGGGCTCAATACATTTATGAAATATGGGTGTGGCCCCCTAGGGGGCTGAGTAAGGGGCCAAAAAGGGGAAAATTAAGAAAAGATTAAAAAAAACTTCTCCATTTCCAGAAATGCTAAAACCAAATACTACTCATAGTTGTAAAGGCCTTTGGGTGGTTTATAAAAATTGCGATTTTCATGTCTCCTAGCCCCCCCCCCCCCTGTTTGTTCCTGGGGAGGGGGTGAAGTTTAGTATAGTTTATATAGGAAATAAACATAATAGGCCATATCTACCTTGGTTTGAACGGAAGTTGTTCATATTTGATAGAAATACTTGTTAGGGGGAGGGGGTCTGCAGGTAAAAAAATTATGAGCCTGACCCCCTAGGGGATCAGGGCCGAAAAGGGGGAATTTAGGAAAATTTCAAAAATCTAATTCTTAAGTTACAAAAATGCGAGGAACAAATACTACCCATAGATATAAAAGCGTTTGGGTGGTTTATAAAATTTGTGATTTTCATGTCTACTAGGCCCCCCGGGGGGTTTGCCCCTGGTGAGGGGGTGAAATTTAGTATAGTTTATATAGGAAATAAACATAATAGGCCATATCTACCTTGTTTTGAACGGAAGTTGTTCATATTTGATAGAAATACTTGTTAGGGGGAGGGGGTCTGCAGGTAAAAAAATTATGAGCCTGACCCCCTAGGGGATCAGGGCCGAAAAGGGGGAATTTAGGAAAATTTCAAAAATCTAATTCTTAAGTTACAAAAATGCGAGGAACAAATACTACCCATAGATATAAAAGCGTTTGGGTGGTTTATAAAATTTGTGATTTTCATGTCTCCTAGGCCCCCCGGGGGGGTTGCCCCTGGTGAGGGGGTGCAATTTAGTATAGTTTATATAGGAAATATACAAAATAGGCCATACCTTCCAATGTTTTCTATGGAGTTTGCTCATATTTGACAGAAATACTTGTTAGGAGAGTACTGTACTGGATATCAATCATATTTGATCAAAAGTATTCATGGGAGGCAGGGATTCAAAATTGTACAAATGGTGTGGCTGACCCCCCAGGGGGCTGAGGGGCGTGGCCAAAAGGGGGCAATTTGGCTATATTGCTATAAACGATTTCTTCTGTAGAACTATGCCATGGATATCAATCAAATTTGGTCGGAAGCATTCATTGGAGGCAGGGATTCAAAATTGTACAAATGGTGTGGCTGACCCCCCAGGGGGCTGAGGGGCGTGGCCAAAAGGGGGCAATTTGGCTATATTGCTATAAACGATTTGTTCTGTAGAACTATGCCATGGATACCAATCAAATTTGGTCGGAAGCATTCATGGGAGGCAGGGATTCAAAATTGTAGAAATGGTGGGGCTAACCCCCCCGCCTAAGGGGTGGGGCCCAAAACAGTTTATTACTTGGAAATGGTTAAGATCCCCACCGTATAACCATATATACATTGGCTGAGTATAAAGAGAAGAATGCACACTTGCTTCAAGGATGGCCCTAGGGTTTGGCCGCACCCTTGGAGACATAGTCCCTGGTTCATAACTTTGAAATGGTTGAGATCCCCACCCCAAAACTATATATACAAATGCTGAGCATAAAGAGACGAATGCAGTCATGATATTAGAATTGATCCTGGGGTCTGGCCACAACCCTAGGGACCTAGTTTCTGAGATACAGCTTGGAAGCAGTTGAGATCCCCATCCCATAACCATCCATTAAATTGCTGGGCATGAAAAATCTAATACAGACATACTACATGAATAGGCATTGGGGTCTGGCATATTCCCTTGGATGTCATTTGGAGAATATTTTGCCATGATTGCTTAGATATCCAGGAGAGCGATACAGGCCCTCTGGGCTTCTTGTTCTATGTGTAATCCGGTTATCCTCCGTCAACAAAACCTGGCATGTCCATAAATGACCATAGCTGTTCAAAGGATGTGAAGCACAAACAAACCAAACAACCTAACCAGGAATTGTTTGTATTATAGACCAGTTAGATTGTGGTCCATGTATCACTATTATTTCAAAGTTTGTGGTAAAAGAGAGCAAGTACCGGTTTATATACAGTGGTAGATGTGTGTATTCTTTACCCTTTGACTTGATACCTTAGAGTATGCAAGGTAATCAATTAGTAAGAGTATAAACCAAATGTGCAAGCTGTTTTTAATGTGAAACGCAATCAGGGCTTATAAATAGATTGGGGATTCCCATCCGTCTGTCTGTATGTCTTTCCCTCTGTCTGCACTAAGGTTAAGAGGAATGGTTAAGCTCAGTTTCCAAGTGAATAGTTTGCATGGCTTATGTATTTAATGATGCTAATCACATGCAATGCTAAGGATGCTGCTTTTGACCTACATTTTCCACTTGACTGACCAAGTTTAGAAGTTCGGTTGAGGTCAGGCCCCATCTGCACTATGGTTAAGAAGATTGGTTTAGGTCACTTACCAAGTAACTTCTTGTCCTACATCAACTAGGATGCTTATCACATGTGATGCTTTGCATGAAAAAATGTACTGTAGCAGTCCAGCCATATCGCCATTGGCAGTTTCTTGTTTTGTTTAACTTTATTTTATGATACCAGTCTGTTTGATCTCAACAAAATCTGGATGCCAGCGACACTGTTTAAACACTTATAACATTGTAAGCTCTGGATACAGCAAAGTAAAGCTAAAATACTAACAGCTCATTTTTGAATCTATCAATTTTACATTTCATACATATATGAGGAAATTTTAAAAAGCAGGACCAAGGTATCAGAGTACTTTCCTTTGCAGTATTTTCAAATTCGTAAACATGGTGTACTGCACATTAGTTGTGCCTTTAAATACTTGCACAACCTGACAGTTTCCAATCACTTGAATGGATTTTGTTTAGGTAACATTTCACGTCTCTGTGAAGGTATCTCATGAAAGACTGATCAATTCTGCTCTATTGTTGATATAAAATGCCGTAAACATTGCAGAATGCGTTGTTATCATCTTCATCAATACACCTTATATATTTAAATTTCACCACAATGTTACTAGTGTAGTGTCAGGATTATAATTATTTTCATTCGGTTGGTACCAATATGATACTGGTAGAACTAAAAAAATGAACATTTCCAGAAGTTCAATGGAAATTTGAGGTGATTAACTCTGCAGGCAAATATGGACAAATTTTAATTAAACTGTTTGTACATTCTTGCTTTCCTTTTTTATCTTTATAATACATGTTGTTTCTTTTTGTGTTGTCAGATTGTGCCTCTGTTCAAGAAGAAGGAGTCATCAGGAGAAAAACTTGTGGCAGATCTGCGGAAGGAGGCTGAGGACTACAGGAGAGAGAAGAAACGAAACGCACTGTCTGGGATTCATCAGTAAGGCTTACATGTGTACCAGAGCTTCAGATTGTTCTTTATACAGTTGGCCATATGACCCATGAAACTGAAAATTTAAAATGATGTTTTGTATGTATATACATTGAAAGTATCTGTGTCAAATTTGAAATTGATAAAAATGTAATTTGTTTTACCTGGTATATATTTTTTACCGTTTCTTTTCAAATGGAATTTAAATTAAATCACACTTGAAATAAAACCATTTTAGACAATTTTCAATTATTACGCAACTTTGTGTCATCATTTTCATTAGCCGGAATTTTTTCTGGCCGTGACACTAGACTTTAAAAATTTTAATAGATGTCTGATGTGGGGCAAAAATGCACTTCATGGAAAATGTGGAATTCTCCGACACCATTTGGTATCGGAGAGTTTTGAGAAACTGACAGCAAGATCCTACTATGACACAATACACCTCATACATTGAAAAATGGGATATTTATTGATCGAAAACTTTCAAAAACTTTATTATCACCAACATCTGCTACATTTTGTCAGTAGAGTCCTCAATTTTCAATCGTTCAAAATTCCCCACCTGAGCAACACCATTTTGTAAGTTACACAGGAGTGACTAATCAACAAATGAGAATGATGTTTTTGGTCCAGATCAGTACAGTTTGTTGATTGGTTGATCTTTAACGTCACTACCCCAAGCATGTTGTCATTGTCATCGTGTCTCTTGGGTGGTAGGCTTCTTTAATTTTCATAATGAATAGCTTTGAATAAATCACTCAAACAATTAAACCACGCCAAGAGGGCCCATGGGTTTAAAAACATGCGTATCATTTTCAATATTCTTTGTAACGATGTAGGTGCACCAACAATCTGAAGCCCTGTTATATAGATAAATTGTGTGTTCTCTATGTTTTACTTTAAATCGCATATACAAATTACATGGAAATATGTTAATTTAAATAACTTTTGAAAGTTTATTGAAAAGGGATTTTGACTTTTAGCATACTTTTTATGAGATTGGATTAAATGTTTAAGGGTCAGTAAATAAACCAAATGTGTTTTTTTTCGTTTTTTTCTTGTTTTTTTTCAACTAACAAAATGTAATTGTATGATATACCAGTCTGATAGATATTGGATGCCAGTGACACTGTATATATAAACACTTGTAACATTGTAAGCCTCAGCTACAGTAAACTTAAGCTGTAAGACAAAGCTCATTGGTGAACTATCTGGAGTCTGATGAAAGTTCTTACCGCAGATACATAATTATAATCAAAATACTTTATCTAAAAATTATATATCTGTAGGTTTACCGAACATAATTTGAAATTCTTGGTTTTCAGGTATCTGGATTTACTGAAAGACAAAGTGCAATATCCGTGTTTGTTAGACAGTGATGGTGATGTCATCTCATTTCCACCCATTACAAACAGTGATAAGACCAAGGTAATGTTAAATGCACCTAAGTCTATCTTGCATGGGTAACAGGCCTTTATAGTCAGAAGTAATACTTGTGTGATATGCAAGTGGTAACTTTTAAATTATGTCTTCTTTGAGTGTCTTATTTTTAATGTTACCACATCATGCTGTTTTGTTTTATTTTAATATTAATTTCATATCATAACTCTGTTCTTATTAATTTTTAATGTCCCGAAAGTGTCATGTCTTTGGAAGCCTCTGTAGTTAGGGGATTCCTAGGGGATTTTTGTTTTTGACACTTAGAAACCTTAGATATGATACTTTTTCTAACATTGAGATAAGATTTAAAGCTATATGAATAAGCTATCCGTGATTACCCCTGTTTCATGTGATATTATAATGTTTTGTTGTTTTCCATTGTTTGTTGCACTAATAGCTCACAAGAGGTTATGTTTCTTGTTTATATGTACATGTATGTGAATCTAAATAAAGTTTCTTGCATCCTATACAGGCTACAAGCATTTCAAAAAAGTGATTGTCAAAATGTTAAATATGCTAATAAACATCACAACAAAATATGCCTTGAAAATTATAGTCTCTGGACAGCTAAGGTATTGAAGACATTCCTCTGTTATTCATGCAGTTATTTGAAAAATGAAAATGTTTTCGTGATAGAAAAGACCAGCATGACCCCTTATTCCTGTATGTCCTCTTAAGAAAGTACAAATTAATTGTTTCAGATATGATTGTTTATTAGCTCACCTGGTCCATCGTCTGTCCGTCTGTCAACTTTTCATTTAAAACCATGCTAGTCCTGAACAGCTATATTGATTCTGACCAAATTTGGGCTGAAGCGTCCTTGGGCAAAGGGGACTCAATTTTGTATAAACGAAGGGTGTGGCTATTCAGGGGGCTGAGGGATGGGGCTCAATAGGGGGATTTGAGGTTTAAACATTTAAAATCTTTCTTCTGTACTATTGGAGGTATTTATCCAAATTTGGCCTTGAGCATACTTGGGCAAAGAGGACTCAATTTTGTATCAACAGAGGGTGTGGCTCCTCTGAGTGCAGAGAGGCGGGGCCCAATAGGGGAATTTGAGGTGTAAACATTTAAAATCCTTTTTCTGTACTTTTGGAGGTATTTTATCCGAATTTGGCCTGGAGCATCTGTAGGCAAAGGGGACACAATTTTTTTTTTAAAAGAGGCTGTGGCTCCTCTGGGTGCAGAGGGGCAGGGCCCAATAGGGGAATTTGAGGTTTAAATCTCTAAAATCTCTCTTCTTTACTGTTTTATCCAAATTTAGTCTTGACCATCCCTTGGTAAAGGGGACACAATTTTGCATAAACGTAGGGTAAGTCTCTGGATGCAGAGGGGCAGGGCCAATAATTTTCCATGAATGCTTTATTATCCAGGTGAGCAATACAGGCCCAGAGGGCCTCTTTTTTGAACTTATCCTCGTAAAATATGATCTATTGATCTATCTAATGCATTTTAACATTATTGTAAGAAAAAAGTTTTATTAGTTTATCCCTTACGATACTCAGACCCTCTAAAACCAGAAAAATCAACCTTTGGCTTTTGGACAGACACCCATGGTCACCTAAATTGGGTAGAACAGTATTTATAGATTGTTATTGTTACAAGACAGGCGTCTTCGCAAGTCAGATAATATTTATAGACAGGCACCTTCCCCAGTGAGGCGATTCTTGTAGATCTATCTTTATAATAAGATAATAGTCATAGACAGGCATCCTTCAAAGTCAGATAATATTTATAGACAGAGGTCTTCAATCAGATTTAGATACACTTGTATTTATAGAAGGCAAAGTATTGACACATTATTTGAATATTAACAAATCTTGAAATGGCAGGGCTCAAAAACATCATTATAACACCCGTTCTTTTGTTACTCTTGTGTCACATTGACATTGTAAGTACATTAGCCATTGCATTCAGCATTGAGGTTCATATTCTTGCTGTAGTAGCGTATGGAGAAAAAACAGTATTTTCTTAAACAGCAAACTTTGTCTTTTATTTGTTGTATGTTTTACAGTTTCTTTTATCTTTTGTTTAGATTTCCAAAGAAACAACTGGGTTGTTTATAGAGGTGACCAGTTCCACTAGCTTAGACGTGTGTAAGAAAGCGATGGATGAACTGCTATTCAAGATGCTGGAGATGGGATGTGGAGCTAGGGCCAGAAAGGGAAGTGGTGATGAAGCAAGTGCTGGGCCTGAGCCTGACAACAGCACCCCCAAACGACTTGTAGTTGAACAAGTCCGTATATTGGACTATGAAGGGACCATGAAAGTGGTGTACCCATCTCGTACTGACCTCCCATATGATGCTGTAGATGTTATCAGAAGCTATGATGACTGAAGGCAGCCGTGCTTCCAGGGAACTACAATCTAAACAATTCACAAAGTCAATCTGTTATGAATTTCTGTTTTGGAGTCAAATTTTGTTATTTGAGCAGTCAATGAGCTGGATGAAGTTTAAAGTAATTTCTGGTGCGCAATAAAGTGTTCAATGTGTTCAGAAGCAAAATATTTTCATATCTTTACAGGGTTAGACACCAACTTGCCATTTGTTTTTCTTGGTACTCCACAGGGCTAGTTTTACTAAAATTTAGACAAATATTATGCATTATATTTGTGTTTTAAAAAAAAAATCTTAAAGGAATATTCTTGTTTTATTATCTATAGATCTATCAAGTGATATTGTGGTAATATATCTTTTCACAAGTCCAAAGGACAAGTTAGATAAGTGATTCCCTAGTTCTTGCTGAAATCTACTAGTCCCGGACTAGAGGATCAGTGTTAGTTGTAGTAGCGAATCACAATGAGGTAATCATTTACTTAAAATCTGTATGGCAATTGTCTCAAGTAACTATGAGAGTTTCAGCTACTAAGCCGTTTAAACTAGTGCATATAAAGAAAGTGGAGAAACAGGACTCCAGAAATAATATAGAGAAATCAGGATTATATGTCTGAAGTTTCTCAAGTGCGAGATAATAAGTTTTGACCATTTTCTCTTGAAATGTTTGCCTATAGAGTGATAAATCTACATACGAGTTCAGAGTCCTATTCTCGTAGAATTTTAATTGAATTCATAGAATTTCTGGTAATACTTAAATTCAACACTGGGGGCCCATTGTTTTTAGCAAAACAGTTGAAAAGGACCTATGACAATAAATTGTAGATTGATCACTGCCTATATCTAAAGGAAAGTGTTGGCATTAGGATGTTGGGCCCTTCATAATATGATTTTTTTTGTTATTTGATTTCCGATGTTGTGTACCGAGCAAGGGTTGAATGTTATTTGAGTCAACACAGTTTGAAAAGCACACTAATGAAGATGATTTTGGGAATATATATTATATTTAGCAAGAACGCATTTCATTGAAAACAGGTTTTTTGTCCACTAGGTATCAATGGAATACAATAACAATATACGAAGTAATGAGTTATCTATGCTTTATAAGCTAATTATATAAGCCAGGTTTCGTTTTTAATGTAAAATTGCAAACTTGTTTAAGTGCATGGAAAAGACCATACTTGTGTACAACACTTGAATATCAAATAAGAGATAAAGCAAATATAACGGTTTAACTACCTGTTATTTAAATATTTTTGTTATTTAAGTTAATAAAATTTTGGTTGATTATTATTAAATATTTGGGTTCATTTTAATAATTTCATAGCATGATCATTGTTAAAAATCTCCTTGGAATGTTTATAATATATTAGTCTACATGTAAAAGAGGATGGATTTTCTTGTTTAACATGTAAAGGTGTAGTTCACAGTTTGTTTTGTGTTAAAGTGCTATTAAAATATCAACACATGTATATTCAAGACTTGTTTCAGTTTGGCATGACCAAAAAAGATCACATTTCAACTATCACATCTTACACGGGAATACAAAATTATGATGACATCTAATGCAGACAACTGTTGAAAACGCTTATAAGGATATCAAATCTCATCAGTCAATTACCCCCCTTCGAAAATACAGAAAAAGCTACCCATACCTTTTGTAGTATGGTTTTAATTTCTTTGTCGTTAAACTTTGAAGTATTTATGAAGAGTAACATATTCAAAAAAAAAACATTTCATATGTTTGAAAATTGAACAGTGCCTAATTTTCCCAATCATGTATTTTTCTCAAATTGTGAACAGTCAATTGTATGGTATTTTAACTTGTTCACCCTGATATTTCATAATGAACTATTCCAACCTTTAAACCTAAAGAGATCAATTGTGTCTTCAGGGGTGAATGAGTTAATGTTGATACTGCTATATTGAAAATAATTGGTTGTATTTCGTAAGCAGACAGGTTGGCTTAATCAAGCAGTATTGATGATGACACCCTGTCTTCATGTTTGTCAAACCAAGATAAAAGAACATCTTTATGCCAGACTGGTATCAAATTAAAAACAAATAAGGGACAGGAGAACTTGTATATTAAAAGATATATCTTGTAGTACTGCATGCTATATATTTTTTTGTTTGGTTAGGAGTTTGGACCGAATTTTGTGAAGATGCTGTAAATGATTTTGGTCATGAATTATTTTTCAAATATTGAGTTTGGATTTAAAAGTTATTATGTATAAAAATGTAATTCTTGCATTTGAAATCTTAATTTTAATTAAAAATGTAGATATCAATTTTAAGTAAGGCCATCGTATAATGATACTACTATCACAACATTTATTTTATTCATAGAACCAATCAACTTTCCTTGTTGTAATATCTCAGAAACAGAATAAGAATCAGTTAAATTCGGACCGTTGAATTTGATCTTTTATCAGTTGTGTGTCAAATGTATCCAATTATAAATGGGTTTTTTTTCTTTTTTTTTCTTTTTCTAAGGCTTTGAATTTTGTTGTTGCAAAAACTAAACTGATTTTGAATAGCGTATATGCATCTCCTGTATTATTCCTGGATTATCTCCCTTTTAACATGACAGAATATATAAATTCATTTCAGATAGTGCAGGCGCTTGATTCATTGACCTGTCTTACTGTAGTATTATTTGTTGGGGAGTCACAGGATAATAAAAGGTGGTTCTTTGGGGTTTAGTTATGGAAAATAGAAATAAAGTTGAAACAACAAACAATAATTTTGAAATTTTGAGAATATTTCAGTTGATGCATTATGTACTGAGATACCATAATTCATGTTCATATTTTGTGATCACTAAAGCATATAAAATTACACAAAAGTACCACAAGATATAACCAATTCAAAATGTATTATGTGAAGTGCATACCTGCATGATATGAGTACATGATAAATTCTGGTAATTAATTGAGTTTTTATTATAATACCTGCATGATATGAGTACTTCTTAAATCCTGATTATAATTGAGCTTTTCGTTACTACATAGCCTGGTTATGTTGTTCTCCGTATAGAATTTGAAGTAAACATAATTTGATAGTGTAGAATTGAAAGGGCGGGAAGCTTAAACCAGGACAGAAGTTAAGATCAGAATGATAAAATCACTTTTTTTTAATACCAAACAATGTACCAAAAATCAATTCCTAGCCCGCAGCCTTTTTGTTAAATGCCATAAATGCTTCATACTGTATTATGGTTGAGATGGAGCATTTCTTTTACAGAATTTAAAGAAACTCTGTGTGCAGTGATTTATTCTCAGTTCAATGTTTGGTATATACTATAAGCAATGTTGGATGAAAACAATCTGTCCTTGCCAAGCATCAGACATCTTTGATATAATGTATCCACAGCAATTAAGTAACAGATTCTTCATTATCAAAATTATTTATGTCCTTTTTTTAATATAGTGCATTTGTCATACAAAAAATTCAATATTTTCAAAATAAATATTCAAGTTGTCTTTGCTCTTTGTGTCATTCTTGAAAAATGTCTCCCCTTAACAGCAAAGCAAATAATGAAAGGAACTAATACGTGCTATTTGAGTATGGACTTCTGACGCTTACGAACTTGCGGTGCCTAATGTGTTTTGTATTGGATGAAATAGTCTTCATTCTCCAGAACAAACTTCGACAATGATTGCCTGTTGCTTTGTGTCGGTACGATATTAAAGAACAACTAGGGAACCTTCTTAAAACATTAATTAAGGAAAAATTAAACTGCAACGTCGATAAACAAGAACAAAATCGATTCGCAATAAAAAGAACAATTAAATACCGAAGGAACTAAGGGACCAAACCAAAAAGTACATCAACAACTCTATGAAACGTGACGCGAAATCAGGTGAAATGTCTCCTGCAAAGTAAATGTTGAGTGGGCCCCTCATCTTGCATTCATATGATCTTACTTATTGTGGTGCAAAACCCATACAGACAACAAATGTTATTTATTATGATGTCTTCATAAAAAACACCAAGAAATGATGAAGGTAAACATGAACTAAGACGCACTGAATACTTTTTTTTAACCAACACAATGAAATTGTAAAGCTGGAAATAAGGTCAATGAATCATCGTGTCTTATTTCACCATGAAAACATAATGACAAATGATGTTTATGTTTTTGTCTGTTTGGAAGTTGCATCTACAGGGCTTAGATCTTAAGACATAAAGACAGTGTCTAAATGTATGGACGATAAAAAATGCTCAACCTTTAATAACTCAAAATGAGCTTTAGAAGGGTCAATGATGTTTGGTTAGGTTTTGTTGAGTTATAGCGTCCTGTTGACAGCTCGGGTCATTTAAGGACGTACATGTACCTGTATGTGTTTATTGAATGCGTGTATTCAACCCTTTGCAATAGCACAGATCTGATTCCATATGTGTGTGCTAAATTGTACATTTACGTCCTTAAATTACCTTAGCTGGATATTAAAGTACCCAGCACAGTATCCCTACCGGTCACATTATACTGACAGTGGGTTAGTCAGCAGAAGTGATTACCTGAAAAAATTGACGTTTAGCAGGGAATAACGACTTCCATTTTGAAAGGCTTTGGTATGTCCTGGCAAGGGGACAGAACCCAATGCGTTCGCCACTTAGACTTACAATATGTACTTCCGTTTGCATTGGATGTCTTCTTAGTTTCTACATGTTTGTTTTTTTAGCTCACCTGCCCAAAGGCAGAAATAGAGGTAAACTTATAAAATTCTTCTTCTACCATAGGGGTAAAGGGATTTCATCCTAATTTGGTCTGGAGCATCCTTAGGCCAAGGGGACTCATTTTTGTACAAACAGTGGGTGTTGGCCCCTCTGGGGACAGAGGGGTGGGCCCGAATAGGGGAAATAGAAGTAAACCTTTAAAATCCTTCTTCTGCCATAGGGATTAAGGGATTTCATCCCAATTTGGTCTGGAGTATCCTTAGGCCAAGGCCACTCTATTTTGTATAAACGCTGAGTGTTGCCCCCCTAGGGGCAGAGGGAGGGACCCAATAGGGGAAATGGAGGTAAAACTTTTAAATCCTTTTTCTACCGTAGGGATAAAAGGATTTTATCCTAATTTAGTCTCAAGCATCCTTGGGCCAAGGGGATTCAATTTTGTATAAACGGTGGGTGTGGCCCCCTGGGGGCAAAGGGTTGGTTACCGAATATGGGAAATAGAGGTAAACTTTTAAAGTCCTTCTTCTACCATAGGGATTGAGGAATTTCATCCCAATTTGGTCTGGAGGATCCGTTGGCCAATATTTATATAGCGTGTCCACTGCATCATTTTATTTCATACTACGATTTCCATATGATATAATACATGCGTCCCTTAAAGGAAATATAATTTGAAATGTATGTTTCTCAAACAAAATATAGCATGTAGACTATAGTTATTTGTTCTTCATATTTACACAATGTTTATAATATTTGTTAAATACAAGCTTCGAGTGAAGTAAAGCATGATATATTATAATAGCACCACTAATATAATTTAGATTTCAAGAGAATTAAAAAAAGAATGTGAATGTCTCTATTGACTTTATTGGTATAAAATCCGACGTTGATGTCACGAGAATTTGTTCTACATTTTTTTTTCTGCATTTCCGATACTATTCTAGAGAAAATAAGTTTTTAAATAAATGATTAAAATGTTTGGTATGGTGTTAAATCAAATTATGCATGCATTAAAATATTAATCTCTGGTACTTATTGTGCTTCCTGAAGAATTCCTGTCCTGCTGCATTGTGGTTTTGCGCAGATAATGCAACCTGCCTTTAACTTCAGTTTGTATATAATTGTAGCACAGTTTGGCCAGGACACTTCATTCCGTCTTTGCGTATTGCAGAGTTATCTTCTCTTGTGAGCAGGTATTGCTTGTTACGTCATTGGTTTGTGTGAGAAAATATTACGTCGTTTTCTCAATAGTTAATGACGTTACTCTCACAAACAAATAACGTAACAACCAATACCTGCTCACAAGAGCAGATAACTCTGCAATACGAAAAGACGAAATAGCAATCTGAATTCCAATGTTTAAACCCACGTCTAGCCATGCTGAATTCGTTCAGCTCAGAACACTGTTGTTTATTTGTGTATTTTATCTTCATTATTTCTCATACAAATCCCGCAATGTATGGGTTTCTTTATTGAAATCATTTATCAAAGCTATATTCTGGTCTGGAACTTTCCATCACTTTGTTACAGTTTTTGGCAGGGGTACGAGGATCATTAGAAGTAAAAGCAATGATTTATACACATCATATCTAAGACCTCATGCTTGTATACCCAACACAATAAATTTAACTTAGTAACTATGGTATTCAGCAAAAGGCATATGATGTACTTGTGTATTCTCAATTACATATAATTTTTGGTGAAAACAGGGACTGAAGTTGTGATTATATTGAAAGCGGTATATTTTCTATTTATACAGTGCTATAGACCTTAAGTGTTGTAAACAGCTCAAGTACCGACGAAAATCTGAAAAACACGCCAGCCGGTAATAGTATTCTATGGTGAAGATTCCATAGAGTGCTCCCAAGGACATCCTGTTCAACATTCCTGATGTCTGGAAATGACGTATTTATGAAGCTGTCTACGATCCAATAGTTAATATTGATAACTGTAAGGAATATCAACACACAATCCAGTACGTGGATGTGTAAATGTGGGTTTGATTTTTGACATCTGTTGGCATGAAGCAGAAACACAACTTGCAGATAAACTTGTACGATTCCTAAGATGTGCGAAGTCATTGTCAACTCCGAAGTGCTATCTGACAACAGATTACCTGTTAAAATTTCACTAACGGCCATCATGATCAAAGCAAAAGCAGACGACAGGTAAACGTACTCACGGACCTTAAGGGGTTTAGGTTCCCTATCTGGTGTACAATAATGAACTAGACAATAAAATCCAATGAAGATTGCTCCAATCGTGGTAGCATATTCGGCTAAACTAAATTGTTCCATTGCCAGTCGCATCTGTGAACTACCCGGGTGCATCACCCAAAGTACATAACCAATAACGTTTCCTATTGTAATAACAATACTTAGAACAAGGACAACGAGATGATATACTGTTCGGGTGATGACGTTTCTAGACACACTGGTTTCGTGATATGTAGTAGTGTTTCCTAAGAGCTGACTCAGTTCTGTTTCATTTAAAGATTCCACATTGTCCTGATACGTTCGAGAGTCGTCTCCTGAGAAGGTCTCTGCAGAGGAGGTCTGTAAAGTATTTGGAGACCACATCTCAAATAGCATCGTTGTAGACAACAAACAGAACTCAAGCAAACACGGACCCAAAATTGGTTTTGATTTGTCGAGAAGCATTCCAATTGTTTCGTTTTGCATACAGGCAGGTATATCACTTTTGTTGCCGAAATAATTGTATAAAATATTTTCAGAGAAGTCGTCTATGATGATGCTATGTAACCATTCGGAAATATTCGCACACGCCAGAGTAAATAACACGTAACGGGCAGTTGTAGAATGTTTTAGTTGAAACTGAACAAAATAAGTGACGAAAACCATTTCCGTGAGTAAATAAAACATCATTATAACATTGAACACGACTCTAGAATCCCAGAAAAATCCAGCCTCTCCGTTGATATATGGGCTGAAGACATGACATTGGAATTGCTGTCCTGCATGAAAAGCTGGAAACAAGCCGGAAACTATTCCAAATATCCACAGGAAGATCAACTGTAGCTTGGTAACGCTTCTCTCTTGTCTTCTCAACACGACACTGTCAAGTCCGTATATTCTTATGAAACACCCGAGGACAGCACATGCAACCATTCCAAAGATCATGATCACGGCTAGTAACACTAGAACGAAACCCAGACGCCTGTGTCGGCCAATATCAATATCCTTGCTGAAGGTCAATATGCTGATGACAGCAAGAAAGATGAGGAAGAAAACAATGGATGATAGGGTACCGTCGTAGTATCGGGAGCCATTCTGTCGCCTCCGATAGTTCCCCGCCGTGATAGGTAGAACCACAACTGATGTGAGTACCTCACTACATGTATTCCCCATTCCGATAGAAGTCGTTTACTGGATCTCTGAAATGGACAAAAGCTAATGCTGTTACTTTATTTACGTGAAATTGATCTAGATGTTAATAATGATAATAATTCGAGGTTCTTATTTACCGCTTTATCACAATCTAGTACGTAGGTCGTCTCAAAGCGGTTCACAAATTAGTATCCGTGGTTATAGGGCCTTTGCAACCAGCCAATATCGTTCTCAACTCCATGGGGAGCATACAGCCGGTGCTGCCATTTCTACAATTCTAGCACTGCCCAACCACGTACTTATTTACAGATGAGTAGACTGGAACAAGCGGAGTAAAGTATCTTGCTCAAAGATACAACACAGTACCGTGCCGTGACTCGAACCCGCAACCTTTCGGTCACGAGCCCGGCGTCCTACCACTAGACTACCGTGCCTCCAACTGAACACTCTCATCGTGTAGGATGATTGCACAACAGATGTATATAGTAAAGAATTTAACTTACTGGATCCGTTTCTAGAACGACATTCAAGGTGTCGACAAGGACTGGTAAGCCCGTTGTCGGTATGTTGCGACGGCGTTGAGTGTAATATTTATATTTTAAAGTTATGATGTTTCAGTGATATTGTTCTTTAAATTGGTCATTAAAGATCCCTGTCCCAAGTCACTGTGGTTTACCGAATATGTAGTAACCTCCCATTAATTTTGATTTTGATTCAACGGTAGTACAGTTGGGTTAGGACACTTGCGTTGACCAGATAGCTCGGCCGGTTGGAGCAATAGTAGAACCATTTTTACAGTGCTCGAATTCTGATCTAGCCCAACTGGATTTTACATTCAGAACAATCTGTTGATAGTTTCATCATTGTCATAACTTTTTCATAAAGGTATGATTCTCTTTTCAGAAATTATCAAACAATGTTATAATAATTTATAAGGAAAAAAACGAACTTTCGAATTCGTAGTTATAATTTTTAGCAGCGGTATGGGGATCTTTAAATAATCATATTATCTGTGATCACCGTCTTTATATGACTGAACCTGTTGTGATGACATTACACACCGAACAAACATAATCAGAAGTACGGTGTTATGTTGATTTGTGACGTGTGATATTAGTATAACTAATAGAATTGAACTCCTTGCTAGCAAATTCGAATTTTGTTTTCTAGAATATGGAGGATCATTTACAGAACAGAATAATATGGGAGATCAAAATGTTGATATAAACATTGATTCTCTCTACGATTCACCGCCAAATCATGTGCATTCTTTTGTCGTCGTGATTAACATGGATAAATCAGCTCTTGTTCAATCGTAAGGACCAAACTTCTCTCGGGTTGTCAAGGCAGTATTGACAGCCCTATAGTTCGCCATTGTTATTACAGAACTGTGTATACAGAAGAAACGGTACATAAGCTAAATCCCACCTTAGAAAAGATAGCATTACCAAACATTGTTTTCGTTTCTTAGAACATGTGTAGTGCTGATATGTACAAGTAAGGTTTAGTTTAGGTCAAACATTTGACCCGTGTGGAATTCACATTTTAAATCACTCAGGTTATAGTGTGAACTGTACGTAGCAGAAGTAAATTATGATTGATTTTAGACATAGTAGTAGATATTGGCGTTGGGCAATTCTTCTCGCAGTTAGATGCACTATAGAACTGGATGAATTAATATACAATCAGTTGCTCACGGATTTGGACCCGAGGAGCGAGGACATGGTTTGGACACCCACAGAGAGACAACGGTTACAATACTTACCTGGAAGATCACGACACCACGCGAAAGCCCGTATTTTATAAGAGCATGACATGTTTGCTACTTCCTGTGTATAGGCTTGTAAAGAGACCACGTTCACGGCCTTTCAAACTTAATATCTAAACAAAACCAATATCTAATAAGGGTTTATATATATGACTTTGCAGGGGGAGGTTTTTGATGAATATGTCATCTTTTGTGTTGTTTATTTAATTTTAATTGAAGTGACCTACTTTCGTTTTTTGATGGTGAGAATTTTATTTTCTATGCTCTGTGTCCATTGTTTAGATGCTATTGGAATTCCTTGAAACGACCTTCACTCGTAGATGGATAACACTATTCGCTTAATTGTAACGAGTCGATCTGCTCACCATAAGAGGTATTTTATATCTTGGGACTATATAAAAAAAATAACTGCTTTTAAATCCAATACATTACCCAACGATGATTCTAAAAATGAACGTATTTCACTTGCTGCTAAATTCATCTGATGTATAGTAGAACGGATAATTGAAATTGAAGTGACCTACTTTCGTTTTTGATGGTGAGAATTTTATTTTTTATGCTCTGTGTCCATTGTTTAGATGCTATTGGAACTCCTTGAGACGACCTTCACGTGTAGATGGATAACACTATTCGCTTAATTGTAACGAGTCAATCTGCTCACCATAAGAGGAATTTTATATCTTGGGACTATATTAAAAAAATAACTGCTTTTAAATCCAATACATTACCCAACGATGATTCTAAAAATGAACGTACTTCACTTGCTGCTAAATTCATCTGATGTATAGTAGAACGGATAAATATTCTAAATTAGGACGACTTCATATAAAATATGCTGATGTAAGTTTGTAAAAGATATCAATATTGCGACAAGTTTGCGAGAATAAAATCTTTGTTGATGTCTTTATGTCAACTTACCAATGGTTCCTTATAAGTGTTGTCTGATAAGAATTCACCTATTATCCATGCACACCGTATATTGTCCGTTATCGGGCCTAATGATTACCTGCTTTACTGTTTCATACCTGGTACATGTGTAATGTATATTTCCGGTTAGGCCTATACTCTCCTTATATTGGTATACACGTGCAGACGGGGTATTTCCAATATTCTTATCTGAACCCATGCTGTGACCTAACTTACAGGTGGACATATTAGACTAAAGAAATATTTCTCTTATCAGCATTGTGTTGAATAACGCAAGAGGTATGCAAGATATATCCTGATATTATCGCCATTTTTAATTGCTGCATATTGTTTCAATGAACTTGAATCGTATTTTAAATATGTTGTGAAATATATCGTACCTAATTATAAACAAGACGCCTTCTTTCAGGATATACATATAACACACAAGTGACGAACTGCCGTATCTAGTTATGTGTATATGAAGATCTAATATTGTCATCATACGTACATGTATATGGAACCGTTTACTGCAATCTGATTGGCTTTATATATTCCAACATTATTTGTAAAGTAAGTTTCTATGCATGTCACTAATTAAATTGTCAAAGCGTTCGACCTTTTTGTTTTATACTGTATAGTTGTTTGATTTCGTCATGCTAATCTTCTGCGGTTGTCCCTATCAAAACTTCTTCGCAGTCATAGCTTGCCAAAGGGACCAGTCGGTCTTGAAACGTTGCGACACGGTTAACAATTTGGTTTGATTTGGTATTTTTTAACGTCCTATCAACAGCTGTTAACAAGTACATTATTTGTGTATCAAGCAAAACTTTGATGTTACATATTTCCAAACTGGGGAATCATATTGAAGACAGTTTGCAAGGGTTAAATTTCAGGCAGCATTGCTAGATGACCATACCGCGCTCACGAGAGTACTTTTGTCTTTATATGATTTATTTTACAGATATTCTGTGAAAATATAATAAAAGGCTGTATTCGATTTTATATCTCCAAAATTCCGTAAAATGGGTAAGCAGATATTTTCCCTTTGTGTAAATATATATTTACGGAGATTATGACTCATGGCTAGATATTCGCTGGATTATTAATTTTGCGCTGTCTTTTGTGACAGCAAATATAGCAAAATTGCATTCATCACGAATATCACCAACTATGCATAATTCACGGACCAATATGAAAGAAATATGAAACCTATGATAAAGCTGAAAGTAACTATTTGTGATTATCAGATAACATGGAAAAACTAAACAAAATTATAGCGCCTATAATTTTATAAGATAAGTGTAATCCGGGTGATAATTGTTTTATTTGTTAGATACTTTTACTCTTCTGTTAAGACTTATGTGGTCACAATATCGAAGGATTCTAAATGATGAACTACGTAATGCTATTTGGGAAATTCTGAAACATGTACACATTATGTCCAGCAGTATGTCGAGATTCCGATATGTATTGTAAAGGCTACTGTCCATTGGCACACGTGACCAGTTCTACATTAAGGGTCCCTGTCCCACTTCAGACAAAACACTTTAATAATCCTCATACAGAAACCTTCTCTTGATTTCATTTGGGATAAAAGTGTACTTGAGTTAGGTCCGGAAACTACCACTGATCAGGTAGCTCAGTTAGTCAAGTGATACATAGTATCAGAGTCGCCTTACTAGCTTCGACATGAAGGAATTTTCCTTCAGCTCAGCAAAAGAGCTTCGTCTTGTTTTGATTTAACGTCCTATTTACAGCCGACTTAAAGTAATAAAGAACTTGAACTTGAACAGCTTAGGTCATTTGAGGACATATTCAATGTATGCATGTTTGTGTATACGTGCCTGAAGCAGGGAATGGTGCAGTCTACATACCGGATCGTAACCCTTGGCTAGTGAAGATAGGCATGTTGGTGTATATGTCTCCTTGCCATGGCGCGGATCTGATACCAACTTTAGAGTGCGACCTCACGGAAGAGCGTCTGAGTAGGACGTCAGGATAGTGGATTTTATCCGCAGCGAACTCGCGTGTTCTTTTCACTATATGTATTTCATTCATAGTTCATTTAAATTCCTTGTGTTCTTTGTTATCACACTTGACCAACGACAAGTCGACATGAAGCACACAGATTATTTCACTCCCAAAGTAAACACGTCAACATTGTCAACATCATTGCTTTGTTTGTTTTGGATTTACCGTCATCGCAAAGACCAAGATCGTATGACGAAAAATGATATGGGAGAAAAGAAAGATTAGGCAATTCGGAAAAGATACTGTTGAGATTGAGATTAAACATTGCGATCGGGGCATCAAATTGATTCTTGATTCTTCATAATTCTTTAGATTACACACACTAAAAAAGAAATCAGCTGGCACCATTTCGTGATTTGAAGGTAATTATTTATCATTAGATTGTTGGAAATTGTTTCTTGATTTTTTTACTTTTTATTATTTACTGCCGATAAACGTTGCTTTTAGTGAACAATGCCTTCATCAATTATTGTCCAGTGATTAAGTTATTCATCCCTTATTTATCACTGTGATAGATATTGGTCTATAATTTCTTAAATAATATAAAACGTAGTTCTTTCAAGTTATTGAAGCTTTTAAATTTATTGTCATTTCATTTAAATAAACGTTGATAAGGATGAAAAAAGACGTAACCCCCCGACTGTCGGCAAAGTCCCCCACCCTATATGTACTCTATAGACCCTATTTCCCCTATTTCTTTTAAATAATACCAGCTTTCACTAAGATGCTGATGGTTTACAGATGAATTTTTGTAATAAGAAATGTGTTCAGGTAACCAATTTCGGGTCAATCAGGCCTTTTGATTATCACATACTTGTTAAATATATTAATATATTGCTAAAATGTATTTAATAGGTATAATACAATATTTGTTATTGTTTTGTGTTGTCTTTTAACAAACAGGGAAATGCATAATCGACCTATCATACATATTTTTGCCTACTCGAGCGAATTTGAAGTTTCTTGAAAAATTCCTGATGTGGAAGCGGAATCATTTGGATCAATAATTTGAGTGTATTACGTAACTATACGATAGTTATGTTGAAATATAACTTAAAACTTGACACCATAATTTCCTTTAATACATATCTGTGTGCTAGACATTAAGTATATGGTCGACTATCCTTTAGTGTCCTGTGTCAGTGTGTCTAAGTGTAAAGTTATACATTTTCTAAACTTATTATTGAAATTACTCGCATTCACCGTGACGTGTAGATGAATATCACGATCCGTGAATATCACGAAACCACCGTCAAATTGCACTTAATGGAAATATTTTCATATGATAGATATTATTTGGAGATACCTGCTGATTTAAACTTCAACTTTGTAACTAATTATGAGCTATATCACTTGCCAAATTCCGCAGATATATAGTAAAACGGATTAACACTCTTTATTAGTACGACTGTATATACATGTAGAATATTTTGATGCAAGTTTGTATAATTATCAACTCTGCGACAGGTTTGTATAATTATCAACTCTGCGACAGGTTTGTATAATTATCAACTTTGCGACAGGTTTGTATAATTATCAACCCTGCGACAGGTTTGTATAATTATCAACTCTGCGACAGGTTTGTATAATTATCAACTCTGCGACAGGTTTGTAAAATTATCAACTCTGCGACAGGTTTGTATAATTATCAACTCTGCGACAGGTTTGTATAATTATCAACTCTGCGACAGGTTTGCAAGAAAAAAATCATTGTCATTGTTTTCATGTCAACTTACCAATGGTTCCTTATATGTGTTAATAACAATTAACCCATTTATCCATACACACCGTATACTGTCTGTTATTTGGCCAACTGTATACCTGCTTCACTATTTCACACCTGGTAAATGTGTAATTTTTACTTCCGAGTTGGGTCTGCACTCTTCTTATATTCGTATCCTTGCAGACGAGGTATTTCCGTTCTGTTATCTGAACCCATGCGGTGACCTTAAAAAGGACGGTTGGAATATTGCACTTGAGAATTTATTTACTAACTCTTATCAGGCATATATTGATTTTATGACAGTTGTAGGCCAACGTAAAGCTTAAATAGATCACCATTTATACGCAGTATATTGCTTTTTATGGTACCTAATTAAATATGCTACGCAGTGGAATCTAACTGCATTTTAAATAAAATCTCCGGCTGAACACTTCACATCACGTCGTTTTATTGACTGTTTCGTGATTATCAAACCGATAAAGTCTTACTGCGACACAGGGATGTCACCTGTAGTGTGCTGATATGAGTTCCAACCTGAAGTGTGTTCTTGCTGATATGAGTTCCAAAATAAACTAAATAAAAAAACGTGCAATTGTTTTATTCTTAATATTGTAACATTAACCTTTATTTTAGATTACTAAATTTCTAAGTGTTTGAGAATTAATGTTAGTCGGGAAATTCTGATACATGCATACGTTATTTCAATATATATATATATATTCCTATATGTTTCTTAAAAGCTACTTCCCATTGGCATTGATGCTTTTCATTTATACATGAAGGATCCTTGTCCCACAGCAGACAAAACACTAGAGAGTTCCATTGTTATTTATCATGCATACAGTAACCCCCTCTTAATTTCATTAAGGATACAAGTGTAGTCAAGCTGGGTCAGAAAAGTACCGCTGAGCAGGTAGCTCAGCTTGTGAGAACAACCGCATTGTTGTAGGGGGTCCAGTTCAACATAGCGTCAAAGTCGCCTTAAAAACTCCGGCTAGAAAGAACCCCCTTTTAGCTCAGCGGTAGAGCTTGCTTTCTTTTGGTTTTATTTTCTTAAACGTCCTGTTAAAAGCTTAGACCATTTAAGGACGTGTCTCAGCGTGTGAAATGTATGCGGGTGTATGAGTGCAGGAGCAATGATTCACTGTTTTAAGTAAATTCTACTTTCGGCCTTGAATTAATTAAGATCAATCTGGTAAACAAATCTCCTTACTTTTACTGTCGCTTAAGTAATGCTATAAGGGAAATTCTGATCTTTATCTTTCTTCCTACTTCTATCTAACTTTTATTTCCTAGCGATTTGCTTGGCAATACCTCGCTTTTAGCTTTAATATTGAGCGTTCACCCAGGTGAGAAAACCAATGGGATCTGTCCCCATGCCGGGACATACCAAAGTCCTTCAAAATGGTAGTTGTTATTGCCAGCTTAAAGTTCAGCCTTAAGGGTAATGACAGCAACTGGTTAACCCGTTGTCAGTATATGACCGGGCGGAATGCTGTGCTGGGTGCCTTCGGCATGGTATTTCAGTGATATTGCACTATGAAGTAGGCATCAAATCCGCGCTGTCACAATGAGGCAAGTACACCAACATACCATCTCTTTCGCACACATACACACAAGCACGCATATACAACACACATGGAGGCACGTCCTTAAGTGACATAAGCTGTTAATAGGACGTTAAATATAATAAAACCAAACCAAACTTTCCCTTTTATCTGTATTTTATTATGTACAACGCATGTTTCGACACTTCAGACAAAGTTTTCATTCCTTTGACCTTCATTTGTTTTTAGGGCTTAAGGTCCTACCGACAGCTGAGTTTATTTAAGGACGTGCATCTCTGCGAGTTATGTATGTGTGTATGTGTGTATGTGTGCCGTGACATGGTATGTTTAGAACCACTGACGAGTCACAAATTGACGAAATGGATGGCCATATCGTACAGTAAAATTAATCTGCATCTACAATCATTATTTCAAATAAGTACACTCTTTCTCCGTATTTTAGTGATTCTGTTAATGCTGCAAGAATCATATCTTGTGGTAATGACTTTATTAGAGTCAACCTGGATTGTCTATCTTGAGAATTCACTTTGCTGATTCCACTCGAGTAACTGATTTTTAATTTTAGATTTCACAAGGGTTTTGAAGTTCACATTGGTTTCATTTTCTTCAGTACGTTGTCCATATTTTCTTTCCTTCTTTTTCTATGTTTATTTTTTATACACATTTAAACAGAATTGCATTCGATACATTAATTGTCTGCAAATGATTTCAAGCACATTGTATATTTAGCAGTATAGCCTGTCAGTAAACAGTGTTTATATACAGTGTACATGTAACAGAACGATATAAATGTACGTATTGTAGCGTACTAAAATGTTAGCGCATTCTCGAATATGCAATAGTGACGCTATACTAGACTTTCCATTGATGCATTCATAAACAAGCTCGATACTTACAGCACAGAAAGCGCTAAAATAAAACAACCGCTAAAATAAAACAACCGCTAAAATATGTTTGTCGTATGCTGAGACTGTTGTTTGTTGTTTTAATAAACGAACAGAAATTAGAAGACAAAACGATGAAACTCCTTTTATGAAAACTTTGTAGAGTGACGTTTCGACAAGTCACATTGTCGTTATGCTGAATCATTTCGAAAGCATAAAGATGTCGTTTTGATAGTGATCTTCTTTCGTGTGTATCGGTCGTGATGCTCAGTATCCTGGGGATTTCATCTGGAGGTTGTAGCTGCTGGCCTGCCTGCGGAGCCGGATTTCGACCACGGCAACCAGCACCATGGCTAATGTGGCAAAAGATGCCACTATATATAGCTTTATGTACTCGCACAGATGTATGCTGTACAAGTATGCTACAGTGAAACCCAATGCCTGCCACAGTCGCAGGTTAGCGAAAGCCGGTTCCTGCTGGTCTTTAAAGGCGACTCCTACAAGGGCTAAAATAAAGAAAGAAAGTGTTCATCGTACATGTACGTTATTGTGAACTACGCAACACATAGTCACTTTTTCTATTCAGGTTCTTATAACAATGAACAGCAATGATGTTTTTATCAGTATAGCATACGAGTTCTTCTATGATAGTTTTAATTGAGGAAAATTGTTGTCGTAAGAAATAGTAATCATAGGAAAGCCTAATACCCAGATATCTTCAATAAAAACAGGAATTTTTTATATCACTTCCTATGAACACGTTCCGTTTTGGTGTATAAGTAACCTTTCAATCGGCAGCTATCGCAATTTTCCGTAAACGAGAACGTGTATTTTATCGTTTACGGAAATTGGCAGTCGCTCCTGTTAAGCTTTCACGATACAGATAATTGTATGTTGATTAAGCTTGTACATATATCTAGTATAAGCCGTCCTAGACATGCACCAACATGCTGGGGAAAATATCTTACTTGCACTTTGTGTCTGCCATATGGAATCCGCAAGTCCCCATAGTCCAGGGAAAACAAAGAACACTAATGTCTGGTTAATTGTCGGATGCTCTGGGAGGTCCCAGAACTGAAGGCCAGCCAGGACGCCAAGGTTGAGTAGGAAAGCAGTAAACAGCAGCGTGCCACGTCCTACGTATTTAGTCAGGATTCCACTCAGCGGGGAGCCTATGGTGTTGCATACTCCGAAACATATCATTGTGTACCCTACCCACTCTACTCCTAGTCGACAGGCCACAAACGACTGAAAAAGATGGTGTCTTTTGTATGAGGACAAAATGAGATGGGAAAACATATTCAAGATGATTTTGGAATTATTTTGTATACCTAGTATACAAAATGTTACCTTTGACGCTACCTTTGCAAACCGGCCTATGGTTGTATATTTGGTCTTGGTGTACCTGACTTTAACTTTGTATACCCTGCGTTTATGACTTAACCTTTGTATGCCGGCTTAAATGACGTTACCCTTCTATACCCAGCGTTCATGACGTTCGACTTATAATATATTCGACAAAATGAAAACCGGCGTAGACGACGTTAGCTTTTGTGTTTCTATTATGCATGACTAAATAAGAGCGTTTCTTTTGAATACCTCGATATTATCTTAACCCGTCGTTTATGACCTTACAAGCACCCATGTAAACTTGGAATACATGATATTACTTTTTTATAGCTGGACTTCATGACGTTACTATTTTAATACCTGGCCTACATGACGTTACATTAGTATGCATGGCAATCATGACGTGACCATTTTACACTACCTGCTCGAGACCTGTGTAGAAACTGAAGGGGACTTAAAATGCCATATTGAGGTCAGTACCCAGCGGCTTGACAGTTGACAGCAGCAACTTGCCTATGCTGTTCTTGCCTACATTTTTCTTGAATGGCTTAGGTAGGAACAGTGTTATCAATAGTCCAATAAGGGTTAGTCCCATGTATATACTGATGAGGATGTATATTATTGTAGTCTCTGGCAGCGTTGGTATTGACATACTTTAAGGACATTCGTTTGCCCCACAAACCAAAGTAACGTTTGACTGCGGAGATTGTTTATTGCCGTACTGTAGCACAGTCGACGAGATGAGATTTCCCCAAATTTGGGTACTCAAAAAAGCCATGCAAAAAACCCCAAAAATCCCACTCAGTACACCATCGAATTGCTCCCTAGTTAATTCAGATAATTGCATGGCGGCATCAGCAACGTAAATGCCCAGATCAGTCTACATTATCCCGACATATATAATCACTCTATTATTGCAACAGGTATCAAAACAAACGTTTTGGGGTAATAGTTCTCACCTATTAACACACACAGACACATCCATGATGTTATCAGATCCCCTTTTGGGCCGGTAGAATTTTGTATGGCAGGTGCAAGCAGACAGGACACGAGTGCTCCTCCATTTATAGCGACAAGAGAATTCGTCCCCAACCCAGAGTTCAAACTACTCTCCACATTCTGGAGTCCTGACCACGTTGTGAAGGTAAATATCCATATTATACTTATCACAGCTAGTCTTGTAACATTCCCTTTAAGAATGAACACTTTCAACCTCATTTTCAAGTCATGCCTTGTCATCTGTCGTTGTGTTTATGCAGTCAAGTCGAACGTCCCTCATAATCAAGATATTTGTTGTGGTGAAACCCTTGTTGCTTGAAGATAAATCCTGTATTTTCTTTTTACAATATGCACTATGATCATTTGTCAAGTTTGTTGTTGCACTATCTGAATAGTTGTTTGGATAGACACAACGCTGATTTACTGTTATTGATAACATGGCGTTTCCGTCTATGTTAGAAGTATGCAACCAGAACAGATAACTCTTCATTTTTTTCGTCCTTAATATTATAAAATATCGTAATATTTGCTGATTGTTAAGGCTATTTTTGTTTTGTTTTAGTACTGTTTAATCATATTTAATTGCTCATTACAATATTAAAAAGTGTAATTTTTGAATCTGTGTTCAACTTTGTAGTATTTATACATGTAGATGCTCATTTTGTTCTGATACTTTTGACCCTAATTATCCGCTTTGTGCATTTTAAGTAACCGTGCCGCAAACATATAGGTTATGAAAATATTTCAAATTTCAATTACTAGTACGTAAAGACGTTCGAATCCCTGTTGAAGTCATGTTTACGTTTTTATCATGCATAAGCGACTGCACAAGATGTAACGAGAGCAGAATCCAACGAATGGCAAGTACGTGCTCGACTGGGTCAAAGGTAATGTTTACACAATAAACAAGCTTTCATCTTAATTGATAAAAATCTCTTACAAATGTAAACGACTTTATAATTCACTTATTAAGTATTATTTCAAAGAGGCTCATTGGGGCATGCGTAGTGTTATGTAAATAATCAAGTTCTTTATCGCACTTAATACTGTAAGAAAATAAAATGTAATTCTTTTTTGTTTTATATCTTTTACACGTTTCACACCCTCAGTTTGGTATTAACGAAAAGGTAATGACTTTTGCTATTTTGTTTATTTGGAGCTTAACGTCCTCGCAAATGCCAAAGTCATATGACGACGGGTTTAGCTATGTAAGAAAATGAGAAATACCAGCTTTGTCTTGGGATAAGAAAAAGGATGAAAGATAGCGACACTGTACCTTAAATGTTATATGTAATAAATAAGTGAGACTTGAGCATAATCATGCATATGAACCCCTCTTTACCATTTGAAACAATGAAATAGTTAAAATACTTTAATATTTTAATATTACGCTGAAATTTGTGAGTTTTACAGTATATAATGAATAATGTATACAGGATATCTAACGGTTTCCATGTTTTTAGAGTAAAAAAAAATGTATTCTACAAAACGAGTGAAATATATTCATATATTATTTATAACGAAAACCTTTTAAATATTCAATCGATTACATTTGAAAACATTCAAACGAGGTAAATGACAGCGTAATCAAACGCGGGAGTACATAAGAATGTTAAAATCTCTTTACGGTATGGGGCGAGACCTCAGTTCATGTCAAAGCAATTCAATTACGTCAAAATCAGAGGATTTCTGATTGGTTAATACAATAATTGGTTTTCTACTCTGTACTTTCATTGTTTCCAGTCTACGAGTGAAAAATATCAGTTTAATCACTCTTCTGACCACTGCATGACAAGGTACTTAGAGTGAACTTTATCATTGAGGATCCTTTTCTCCTTACTTGTTGACACTGTTAAGGATATCCTAGCGTATTAGTTTTGGTAATATTGCCTTTTCCTTGTGTGTTGTCGTTGTTATATATTTGTTATTGTCATTATGTTGAAATTGGGGTATATTTGTCATTGAAGGAATCGCTGACTTGTGTATATTAATCATTGACTCCCTTAAATAAATCTTAAATCAATTTCTGCATCAGGACCATGTTTCTCGAAAAATTAAATGTTCAAAATGTGACTTTTAAGAAAGGGTTCTGCATTTTTTTTGTGATAGGCCTTTTTTGTCTTCCTCATGAACCAAACTATGTGTAACATTAGTAAGTACATGTATATTAATGTCAATAACGTCACGGTAGTAAGCTCAGCCTATATGGCGTCACCGTTGTGCAACCGGCGCACATGACCTTACTTTTGCAATTGTGAACAAAGAGTAAATGACTTTAAGTTTGTATATCCGGGGTTCATTACCTGAGCTTTGTACGTGAAGTAAATGATGTTACCCTTCTATACCCAGTGTTTATAACGCGATATTTATATATCCGGAGAAATGAAACCCAGCGTAAATGACGTAAACTTTGTATACCTAACATACATGACTAGAAAAGAGCAATAACTGTGTACAGCATGTCATCATTACCTTACCTATGTAAATATCGCCTACATGACGTTCCTTTATATGTATGTCATTGTCTATGATCATGAGATTACTTTAGTATACATAGCCAAATATTTCCTTAATTTTGTATACATGTTCTAAATGGTGTTGCCTTTCAAAACCTGGCCTATATGACATTAATTTTTGTATACTAGGCTTACTTAACATTACTTTTGTATGGCCTAAAATAACGTCACCTTTTTATGTACAGTTTGCATGACGTTACTTTTCTGTACTAGGACCACACGCCTTGATCATTCGCACCGGCCCACACAACGTTACCGTTGTTTACCTGGCGTAACTTTCACTTTAATGTCTTTCTTGAAGTTACATTTGTAGACCTAACCAGTATATGACGTTACCTTCGTAGACTTAGCCTGTATATGACGTTAACTTTATAAACCTGGCCTGTATATGACGTCACCATTGTAGACATGGCCTGTATATGACGTTACCTTCGTAGACTTAGTCTGTATATGACGTTACCTTTATAAACCCGGCCTGTATATGACGTTAACTTTGTAAACCTAACCTGTATATAACGTAACATTTGTAAACCTAACCTGTATATAACGTTACCTTTATAGATTTTGCCTGCATATGACGTTACCTTTATATACCTAACCTGTAAATGACGTTCCTTTGGTATATCAAGCCATGATTATGATGTTACCTTTGAAGACCTATGCTATTTATGACGTTTCCTTTATAGAACTTGCCTGTATATGACGTTAACTTTGGTATACCAAGCAATGATTATGATGTTACCTTTGTAGACCTAGGCTGTTTATGACGTTACCTTTATAGAACTTGCCTGTATATGACGTTACCTCTGTAGACCTAGGCTGTATATGACGTTACCTTTATATACATGGCCTGTTTATAACGTTACCTTTGTAGACCAAGCCTGTATATGGCGTTACCTTTGTAAACCTAGGCTGTATATGACGTTACCTTTATATACATGGCCTGTTTATAACGTTACCTTTGTAGACCAAGCCTGTATATGACGTTACCTATTGAGACCTAGACTGTACCTTTATATGCATGGTCTGTTTATAACGTTACTTTTGTAGACCTAGCTTGTATATGACGTTACCTTTGTATACTCTGCATACATGACGACCTGCTCGAGACCCGTGTAGAAACTGAAGGGGACTAAAAATGCCATGTTGACGTCAGTACCCAGCAGCTTGACAGTTGACAGCAGCAATTTGCCTATGCTCTCCTGGTCCATATTCTTCTTCAGTGGCTTTAATAGGAACAGTGTAATCAAGAGTCCAATGAGGGTTAGTCCCATGTAAATACTGATGAGGATGTATATTATTGTAGTCTCTGGCAGAGCTGGTATTGACATACTTTTAGGACATTCGTCTGCCCCACAAACCAAAGAAGTGTTAGATTGTGGAGGTGGTTTGTGGCCGTACTGAAGCACTGCAGACGAAATGAGATTTCCCCAGATTTGAGTACTCTGGAAAGCCATGCAAAATATTCCAAAAAACCTACTAAGTACAACCTCAAATTGCTCCCCCGTTATTTCAGAAAAATGCATGGCGGCATCTGCAACGTAAATGCCTTGAGCAGTCCACATTATCCCAGTCGACAATCCCTCTAATGCTGCAGCAGGGATCAAAACATAGTTTTTCGGGTAATAGTTCCCACCTATGAACACACATAGACACACCCATGATGTCACGAGAGCCCCTTTAGGACCGATGTAGTTTAATATGGCAGGTGCCAACAGACAGGATAGGAAACCACCCCCTGTTAAAGCGGCGAGAGAGTACGTTCCCACTCCCGGGTTCAAACTACTCTCCAGATTCTGAAGTCCCGAGTACGCGGTGAAAGTAAATATCCATACAACACTTATCACAGTTAGGATTTTGTAACATTCTTTCTTAGATTTGACACTTTCATCGTCGTCAAGATTTACAAGTCCTCCCTTGTCATCGGTCGTCATGGTAATGCGGTCCAGACGAACGTCCCCCATGATCACAATATTTGTAGTTCTTAAATCCTTGATATTACACCACTTATTTTATTTTAAATATCCACTGTGGACAGTGGTCAAGTTTGTCGGGACACTATCTGGATAGTTGTTTACATAAACATACGTGGACATATATACACGGTGATATTGATAACATAATATACTCGCCCTGTTGACTTATGTAACCAAGGAGAGATAACAGCATTAATATATAGTGGTGTTTGTTGATGATTTCATGTGGTATTTTTATTTAGTCCAAGTATTGTTTTGAAATAATATCGTTTCTTTTATAACTGCATTCTTTTTAAATCAGTGTTCAATTTTGTAGTTTACACTTCTTTTTCAAAACAGTTGATTTTATTTTTTTGTTCTGAAAGTATGGGCAAACAGTTAAGTGTTATTTAAATCCTATTGGCCAAACTTTTGCTTTCTTTATTATTTTAACTGGACGATGGTCACTTCAGCTGATGCTGTCACTCGTGACGCGTCGTTCGTCGTCCAACTATCATTTTTTTCTTTAAAGTGTTCGAGTCAAGGACGTCGGAAATGATATTGACTAAATCTGGCTTGAAGATTCCGAGATCAATGAAATTAAATTTCATATATATATATATATAAGGAATGAAACACTGATGCAAAGGAAGAGGCCAAATTAACAACGGACATTCTTCAGTAAATGAGGGTATGAGGCACCCCTGCTACGGTTTTAGTTAACCTATATACATATGAGTATTTAGGCCCATGGAGAAGACCAGTTGTTCTTTTGAATTTAGTTGAATACTATGTCTAACTTTTTTCTTTCTTAAATAATACTAGCAAAGGTGTAGTGTGCTATAGTATACAAAGAGTACTCTTTTTAACGTGTATTCTGCAAGTTTAGTGAATATAAACTCGTAACTTCAGAGTTGTGTCTCCAACGTACAGTTAAGTATCATAAGCGTTGTCTCAAAACCATCTCTCTGGGAGAAAGGTTTGTCTTGTCCCTTCTCTTGGCCACAATCAGACTCCAGAATCTATACATGTACCTCACTATATACTTTCCCTATACAAGGATTACAACACTGTCTACAACCATCGTCTATTATTAGATCTATCAACCTATCATAAAAAACACTATGGTACGTACTCAGAGGGCTATCTGAACTTGAATATTACATGCTCTCCCTAGGCCCTGACATGTAACTGACCTCAACTTAACACACGGTGTTAATCTTAGAGGTGTATCCACTCTTCGATAAATTAGGCCCATTAATTAATTAAATCAGCTTTTAGTAGAGCTCACTTTGTCACATGCGTCCCATTTTCATTAAGAACACTTAACACACGATGTTAATCTTAGAGGTGTATCCACTCTTCGATAAATGAGGCCCATTGATTAATTAAATCAGCTTTTAGTAGAGCTCACTTTGTCACATGCGTCCCATTTTCATTAAGAAAAAATATATTCGTGTAATCAAAGTTCTTTAAGTTACACTTACGATTTAACCAACTTTTTAAAAAATAAATTCCCGTCAACGCAGTTTCTATTGCCTGCTTTTCGCATAGTGATATAGTCACACCATCAAAGCGAGATCATGTACATATTAAAATTGCGAATACGTTTCTCGTTAATAGCCAGGTTGTTAAAATCTTCGTTAGTTTTACGATTTAAAGTTTCAAAATATTTTTTAAGAAAGATATTTGCATTTTGTATGTGTGACGTTTTTTTTATTTCGACCAAACAATCTTACAGCTTTGAACCCAACAGGCTTGTGTTTTGTCTATGCCTACTCACACTGTACGAAGTCCAAACTGTATATAATACTCACCGTACCCGCGACCCAAATTACGGTAGATAAAGTAAGATAATATAGTTAAACAATGCACCATGATAACCCGAATGACCCAAAGATGGCCGCCATCTCATCTAAATATTTTTACGTTTTGAGGCATCCCACTTCTGACACCAATTTCTTACGTTTCCATTTCTGACACCATCTTGTCGTTCAGTCGGTCTGAAAAATGCAAGAGATAAAAACACAACAAAGAAGTTTTCATAAAATTAACTAGTTTTATTTACAAGAATTTAATCAATGTACTTGCCAAAAGCTCAAGTGAATAATGTTACCTAAAAGTGTATCCAGAAGAAAATTTTATAACCCAAGCAAAGAGGACGCACTTTGAAATAATCCAATTTAGGATAAGATGAAGACGACTGATATTCCTTTTAAAACATATAGTTAAGACAATCTTACTATAAGTCCGGAAATGCCATTTGAAAGTAATAAAACTAAATAACAACTGCAGTTAACACTAATTCGACTAATTCAATTATAACTACTCTACACACTACAAATTACTCAACCGGATTCCTCACAAGTCTACAGAATACTCAAGAGTCATCATAAATCATCCTCTCTATATAATTCTCTTAAGATTCCTGTCCCTGCAGGTAGGGCGTAAGAATTGTACCTGCTGCCCCCATCGCATGATCGTAAGAGGCGACTAAATTTGGGATCTTATCTTTTCTCTTCTTTCTAAACATCTTTCTTCTTCCTAATGTCTCCCTTGACAATGCCTCACTTTTGGCCTTTAGTTGAGCGTTCGCCCCTGTTAGGAAGGCTTTGGGTTCTGTCCCCTGGCCGAGACATACCCGAGTCTGTATAAATGGTAGTTTCTCCTCCTGCTTAACGCTCAGCAATTTAGGAGTGGGATGACTGGTTCGGTCGTTGTCAGTATAATGTGACCGGGTGGGGTGTCCTGTTGTGTGTCTTCGGCAGTATGTTTCAGTGAGGTAGCAATATAATGTCGGCAATACTAAACCAAACCAAACCCTTGGGAGCGTACAGCCGGTTCTGCCATTTGATATGAGCTTTTTTACGATTATAAATAATGAAACATAAAAATTAATGTAGAAAATGCTATCGATTTATCATAATAAAGGTTAATAGGAAAATATAAATCAGTATTGAAGGTAAAGTTTCGATTGTGTTTTGAGAAATTATTTTTAAAGTACAATATACACCTGAGGCAGTTTGTCTTAAATTTGCTGTGTGCTCCAATCATCATCAGTCCTCCCAAACCAGGCCCAAGTGTCATAAACGCCTGGAAGCTTGCTTCAATCCACAACTGAGTAAAACATACACTATACAATGTGTGTGTTAATAAGCTGTTAAAAGTAATAATGAATTTTTATTCGACATTCGATTTTTCGGGTATTAGGTAGAGAAAGAGACCCCCAAGTGTTGCAATGGAGGCAGCAGAATAATGTTTGCTTCTTCAATGTCCCTAACAGAAAATAAAGAAGAACCCGAAAAAACTATTGATGGTTCCACCATTCATTACTTCGTATTTCTAATATTTGTTTTTGAAAGAAAATTCAAGACGATTTTTTCGTGGTTTACCTGACTGTTGTTTATCTAGTTAATTATGCTTTTAATGGCAAATCTTTTCCCCCTCTTTAGAAACGAATAAAATAACAAGACCTAAATGAACATGATATACAATTGTAACGATGTGTAAAATAATTTTCTGACACAATAATGTTGTTGGCAATTTCGAATGATCGACAAGGATGTTTTATAAACAACAATTCAATTCGCGTAATAATTAATTCGAGTTGATAAGTTCGTTAATTATTATCACATAGCTATCGCTTACATCTCTGTTCCATCTTCTTTCATTGTTATTGTTTATATGTTTAGATATTGTTAAAGGAAAAAGAAAAATGTATTTTTTAACACTTTGAAAAAATGCCTACTTTTTTGCACATAGTTATGTTTTGTTTCGTTTCGTTTCGTTTTATAGATTCATCGACAATTGAAGTATTTTTATGCCAATTGGAGCACATCAAACTAAAACTAGTTAAAAACGTTAAATATGCAAAAAAAAATCAGTAGTAAACGGATACATTGTATAGAATTTCATAGTACACAATGAAACTGTCATACAGGATGTTAATTTAGACCTGTTACTAGAGACATATTTTAGTTAAGCTTACTAGAGAACAAAACAATAAATATCAGGTAATATAATCTGCAAATGAAATACAGTGCCCCAGAGGATATCAAAATGTCAACAAAATCGTAATTTTACCTCAAAACTGGAAAACCTCGGTAAAATATTAACAAAAGAAATATTAACATGGGACCATTTAAACGTACGTGCCATTTAAAATGTACGTGATTAAAAACAATTTTCTTGAAATAAATTCGTCTTCTGCTTCATAGATGATATCAACAATGTAGATCTAGTTCAAATCCAAATAATTCACGTCCTCAAAGCGAAATCAGTGAAGTACAACAAAACAACAAGGCAAACTAATGATCAAATCATCGACTTTCTCATCACAAAGGGAAACAGCAAACTTCCAAATGAGATGATGATGTCAATCATAAAACTTGCTCTTAGTCTCCCAATTACCTGCATAGTAAGTGTGTTCACCAGCAGTAAAAATCTATCATAATCATAGTATTCGGAGCAACTTGTAACAATTATCATTCGCACTTTTATTCGACCGATAAATTGAATGTTTCTATTATGATGTTACTGAAAAAAAGCTTCATTGATGATTTCGTGTCTTTTATTTAGGAATTATCATTCAGTGTAGATTTTCTGATATTCCTGATATTTCTGATGTTTCTCGACATGGAAGGATTTTTTTCCACACTGATACAGTGTGGAAAAAAATCCTTCCATGTCGATGTATAAAAAACCTATATGCATATGCAATTATTCTTTGGGTTTTTTTATGATCAATCAGATCCGGAGAATTTTCTTTTCAAAATATTCTATAGATAAATCATATGATATTTTCACCCGAAAAGTATTTGTACCTGAGAGTTGGCTAATCTTGTGATGTCAGTCGATACGAAATATAGGATCCCTTTGGTAGCCTCTGGTACTGTCAGTGCTCGTATCCAGATCGATATGACCAGGATCACAGGTAGAAGGGCTGTTACATACATGATCTGTAAATGAAATATTTACTTATTGATAAAATAATATAGAAATATACAGCC